TATCCAAGCTGCTCCACTTCCCACCCAGCTCCCTGCTTATTGTCTGGGAAGCAGTAGAGCATGGCTCAAACCCTTGGGACCCTGCACCTGCGTGGGAGACCTTGAGGAAGCTCCTGGGTCCTGGCTTCAGATTAGCTCAGCTTTCAGCCATTGTAGCCACTTGGGGAACCAGCGGATGGAAGATCTTTGTTTCTGTCTGTCCTATTCTCTGTAAATCTGGCTTTGCAATAATAAATGAATAAATAAATATTTCTTTAAAAGAAAAAAAGAAAACTGTAACAATGGTGAATGATCACAAACTTTTTAAAAAAAGATATATAGCTTGAGCCCGGCACAATGGTTCAGTGGCTAAATCTTCACCTTGCAAGTGCCAGCATCCCATATGGATGCCAGTTCGTATCCCGGCTGCTCCACTTCCCATTAAGCTCCCTACTTCTGGCCTGAGAAAGCAGCAGAGAATGGTCCAAAGTCTTGGGACCCTGCACCCATGTGAGAAAACTGGGAGAAGCTCCTGGCTTCTGATCAGCCCAGCTTCAGTCATTGCAGCCACTTAGGAAGTGAGCCAGCAGATGGAAGAGATTTCTCTCTGCCTCTCCTTCTCTGTGTAAATCTGCCTTTCCAATAAAAATAAATAAATCATATGTATAAATAGCTTTATAAAGAGAAAGGGCTGGGCCCGGCGCGGTAGCGCAAGAGGTTAAAGGTCCTTGCCTTGCACGCCCGGGATCCCATATGGGCACCGGTTCTAATCCCGGCAGCCCCGCTTCCCTTCCAGCTCCCTGCCTGTGGCCCGGGAAAGCAGTCGAGGACGGCCCAAAGCTTTGGGAACCTGCACCCGCGTGGGAGACCCAGAAGAGTCTCCTGGCTTCGGATCGGCATAGTATCGGCCCGTTGCGCTCACTTGGGGAGTGAATCATCGGACGGAAGATCTTCCTCTCTGTCTCTCCTCTCTGTATATCTGCCTTTCCAATAAAAAAAATAATAATAAAAATAAATCTTTAAAAAAAAAAACAGAGAAAGGGAGAAGCAGAGAGATCCTCCATCCCCTGATTCACTGCCCAAATGGACACATTGGCCTGGGCTGGGCCAGAGTAGGAGCTTCTTCCTGACTGGGCTCCAAACCCCTGGGCCATTTTCTACTGCTCTTCCCAGGCTGTTAACAGGGGACTGGATCAGAAGCAGAACAGCTATGACACAAACTGGCACCCATCTGGGATGCTGGCACCACAGGCAGCAGCTTTACCCACTAGGTCATGATGTGGTCCCCAGACACAGACATTTTGAGAGACACTGTTTGGGGGTTAAGTTCATACACTTGGGCATCTCAGGCTCAATTGTAGCTTTTACTGTGTGGCCTTAGATAAGTCACTTAACCCCTTGGAGCCTCCGTTTCTTTATTAGGGATGCTGATGAAGGCTGGTGTACACATCAAGGGAAATTATTTCTATAAAGAGCTGGACACTGGCCGTGGCCCACAACCAGTGTTACCTATAATCATGACCTTGGTTGTTGTCTTCCTGCTTACCTTCCTGGGTTCTGGCGCATAAGAAGGGAGCAGGAGAGACAGCTGTTTACTGCTGTTACTGCCACCGCCACCGCCTCCATCCATGATGAAGCTGAATGGGAAAGACTTCCATGTCCTTAGCCCTACCAAAGGTGGATTCCCTTTTAGCTGCAATGACCCAGGCCTTACCTATGTAGATGGAAGATGCCCAGCACTCAAGTCCAAACGGACTCAATCATCTATCATTACTCCCTATCCCAAAGCACCCTTCAAACCTTCAGGGGAGAAAAAAAGATGCACAAGCTCGCTTAGGAGCCAGATGAACGCACAGCTAAACCAAAACGAGGTGCTACTGTAGACTCAACCAGCTGACCATGCCAAGGGCTGGCAAGGATGTGAAGCCAGGAAACTCTCCTCTCCCACTGGCAGTGGGGATTGGCACATACTCCCTGTCAGTTGGGCAGATTAAGCTAATGATGCATACACCCTCTGACTCAGCAGCCCTTCTCCCAGGTTTGCACCTCCGAGGACTCTCCGGCATGTGCACAAAGAGCCAAACACAAAAAGGTTCATCCCAGCACTGTTGATAATTGCAAAACACGGAAAAAAGCCTCGCACACTGGAGAAGAGGCAAATGTACCATGGTGTATTCCCTAAATGGAATGCTTTGAGTGGTGAAAATGAACAGAACCACATAGTAGCAAGGATGAATTTCATTAATAAGCTGAATGAAGAAAGCAGGGGCCAGTGCTGTGGCACAGCAAGTGAAGCCACTGGCTGTAATGCTGACATTCCATGTGGGTGCTGGTTCGAGTCCCAGCTGCTCCATTTCCAATATAGCTCCCTGCTAAAGTGCCTGGGAAAGCAGTGGAGGATGGTCCAGTGCTGTGACCCCTGTACTCACATGTGAGACCTGGAAGAAATTCCTGATTCCTGGCTGAGAAACCAACCCAGCTCTGACTACCACAGAAGTTAAAGAGTTAACCAGCAAATGGAAGCAATAGATACACTTTCACATCATTTATATAAAACTCAAAATATAAAACACTATATGTATACAGTTTAGCGACACATACATATATAGCACAAATATAAAGAAATGAAAACCAGCACATTTCCATTTGAAGTGGTTACTTCACTGGCTAAGGCAGGGTGGGAGAGAGGAAGTTGGGAGGTATACACATGAAACTTTATTTCTACTGGTGATATCTTATTTCTTCTATTAAGTAGCAAGGATAGCGGTATGTTTGCAATATAATATTTCACATATCAAATGTAAAATTTTCATACAAATTCTATTTATAGAAGTCATATCCATAGAATTGGCAATGATGTCGACCATTCCACCTTTCCTGTTTCCAGCCCAGGAGAACTAGGGTGCCAGGCCTCTGGGGACTTCAGGCCCCTGTGGTGAGCTACACAAAGCAAAGCTTAGAAGCTATCCTGAGCTGGCATGCAAAGGCTGAGTGGTCAACATGGATATTCTCTCTTTTTCTTTTCTGGTTTTTCTTTTTAAAGATTTATTAATTTTTACTGGAAAGGCAGATTTCCAGAGAGAAGGACAAAGAGAAAAGTCTTCCATCCACTGGTTCACTCCCCAAATGGCTGAAATGGCTACAGCTGCGCTAATCTGAAGCTAAGAGCCAGGATCTTCTTCCAAGTCTCCCACATGGGTGTGAGTGCCCAAGGCTTTGGGCTGTCCTCAACTGCTCTCTCAGGCCACAAGCAGGGAGCTGGAGAGGAAATGGAGCAACCGGGACATGAATGGGTGTCTGTATGGGATGCTTGTGTTTGCAGGGAGAGGATTGGCTAATTGAGCCATTGCCTTTCCAGTAGATGAAATCAAATGAATAATCTTTAAAAAAAAATACGTTTCACATTGCTATCCACAACTCATCATAGAAACATGCGTTTACAAAACCAAATGCAGGGCCCGGCGGCGTGGCCTAGTGGCTAAAGTCCTCGCCTTGAACACGCGCCGGGATCCCATATGGGTGCCGGTTCTATTCCTGGCAGCTCCACTTCCCATCCATCTCTCTGCTTGTGGCCTGGGAAAGCAGTAGAGGACGGCACAATGCTTTGGGACCCTGCATCCACGTGGGAGACCTGGAGGAAGTTCCTGACTCCTGGCTTCAGACTGGCACAGTACCGGCTGTTGTGGTCACTTGGGGAGTGAACCATCGGACGGAAGATCTTCCTCTATGTCTCTCCTCCTCTCTGTATATCTGACTTTGTAATAAAAATACATATATAAATCTTAAAAAAAAAACCAAATGCATATACCTAATGACTGAACAAATATGAAAATTTCATAAAATAATGCTTCCCTTTTTAAGATGATCTGCTCATGGTGTGGTATGCTAAGCCTCCATCTGTCGCACCAATAACCATATGGACTCAAATTTCAGTGCCGGCTGTTCCACTTCCAATCCAGGTTCCTGCTAATGACCTGAGAAGGCAGCAGAGGAAGGCCCACGTCCTTGGGACCCAGCACCCACATGGGAGCCATGGAAGAACCTCTTAACTCCTGGCCTCAGACTGGTCCAGGCCTGGGCCGTTGAGACCATTTGGGGCGTAAACCAGTGGATGGAAGCTTTTCTCTGTCTCTGCTTCTCTCTGTGTAAGTTTGCCTTTCAACTAAAAACAATTCTTTAAAAAAAAATTTTTTTTAATAACAACTAAGGATGATATGCTAAAATTTGTCATTCCCTTCTATTTCATTTCTTTTAGAGAAGATGGTCATCATAACCTATCCAACTGTTTTCTTGTCCACTAATATAAGGGGATGACCTCAGTTTGGGAAATACTGCTTTATGTAACCAGTTCTCCAGCGAAGTGGACACAGACTGCTTGTAATTCTCTCCTACCACAACCAGCAGCGCCCCCTGAGCTGCTGCTTCTCAAAGTAGGATTCCTGACTGTGTCACTGTCATTTACTTCGCCTTCTGGTAAAAATGTAGCCGTTTTGCTGGGGGGGGGGGGGGAACAAGTAACAATCCTGCATGTGTGTTACCACCATCCTGCAGGTCTGCACCGCCCTGGGCCTCAATTTCCCCACCAGCAATCTGCTGCTCTTCGTACCCTGGAGTCTGTTCCTAGCCACACGCACAGAAGCACCACCCCGCGGGTGACTCAGCAGGGGCAGGATTCCTCATCCAGCCCTCTCCCCTTTTCAGCTCCCAGCTTGCTCCTCCTGACTCGGAAGCAGCCCTGGGGAAAGGGAAAAACGCAGGTCGCGGCTGGAGGGCCCGAGGGAGGGCGGGGCCGGGGGCGGCCGGGACAGAGCCCCGCCCCCGGTAGGAAATGAGAGGGAGTCGGAATAACACTTTATAAGCTGGATACCCTCTTCCTCCCTCCCATTCCCTGGCCTTCTTCCATCCTCCTCTGCTCACCCTCCGCCCCTTCCAGGCAGTGCTCTTTCGGAGACTTTCCTCCCAGGCTGCAGCCAGCGGCACCCTCAGCTTGCCCAGGTGGGATCCAGAGCCTCGGCCTCAGGATGTCGCCAACCTTGCTGCCTTTGTTGCTGCTACTTTTCCTGCCCCACCGAGCCCTTTGTAGTCAGGAAACTTCAGAGGGTAAGTCATGAGGGGAGGAATTGCTTGTGCCTGGGGAATGTACTAGAGACTTTGGGTCTATCTGGGCTCTGGGCGCGCTCCGGCAAGACCGGAGGAGGAGCGCATCTTCCCTGGAGTGCAGCAGGCTGGATCGCTCTCTGTGGTCTGCCCGCATCTGTCCCAAAGTCAAAATGAGCAAGTACAGTGAAGCCCCCAGGGGAAAGAAATTGGGGGGGGGAGCGGAGCGGGCAGGGGAGGCTGGGGAAACTAGACAAGTGGAAAATGAAAAAGGAGGGGAAGGAATTAGTCTCAGAGAGAGGGGGTGAAGTCTGGAGAGGGGGAGCTGTAGGTGAGGGTGACAGGGTCCCCAACAAAGCTAGGGAAGCACTCAAATGCGGGGAGAGCTGGGGATGGACCAATCGGGGATGGTTGAGGCAGAAAGGGAAGACCAAGGAAGACTGGATCCAGCTGGGAAAGCAGAACTGGGAGTTGAGAGAGACTATGACTAACAGGAGAGTTTGTGAGGTAACTACAGCAGCACCCTGTTAAATGGAAAAGGGGAGTTAGTGCCTCGCCTTGTGTTTGCACCCTGGTTTCTCTGCCCTCTCCCATAGCCCCATAGCTTCCGTCTCCCACTAGGGTTAACTAACAGGCAGGTGCTTCCAAAAGTTTGTGGGCATGGAATTTAAAAGTTAAGTTTATCTTGGTGCCCTCCCCCCCACACAAAAAAATCCACCCATACGTTTTTCATAAACCTGAACTTTCCTTGAATCTTTCAAAGGCCCCTCACACACGAGTTTCAAAATATTTTGCACCTAAATCAACTTTCCTTTACATGCCATTTCCTACCAACTTTAGAAGTAGGTCGGGCATGCTTTGAGTCGTTTATCTGCAAAATTCCACGGGTGGGTAAATATTGTCTTGATTTTACACAGGAGGGCATCAGGTCATGGAGCAGCATCTAGGATTTACCCACACAGATAGAAAACAGTGTGTGTGTGTCTGTGTGTGTGTGCCACCTGAAGATAGCGACAAGGCAGGAAGGCAGCACAAGAAATCCCAAGGAATGTCCTGAGTCTAGGCATACAGGGACTAGGACAGAAAGTGCAGCTACCACAAAGGCTGGGCTGACAATGTTGGGCTGGATCCTGGGGACAGGTACCCTATCGGGGAGACAGGTACAGCATGGGAGGGACAGAGCGGGCCTTGACCTGCCTGCCTGCAAAGCTTGGCTCGGTCATACCATCCTAGCCTCAGCTTCCGGCATACACTGGGGATAATGATAGCCGCTGTTACATCAAACTGTTGGTGGGGAAGGGAGAGGCACAATAAGATACTCATGTGCACAAAGCACGGGGCCCAGGTCCTAATATCCACTTGATGGGCTTTATTTCCTTTGGATAGGGGGAGGGGTGTGTCACTTAGGACGCTACAGAAGACTATGATCTGATTCCGGGTGTTGTGGGGGACCAGGTGGTTACCAGATTAGAAGGAATTAAAGTGAGAAGGAAAAATGGGGGCGAGGGGGAGGTAGGGAATCCCAGTCCAGGTGAGCATTGGTATGGCCTAAACAGGACAGTGGCAGACGAGACAGGCACTAGGACCCATGACCCAGGGGATTTGATCATAGGTCATGATTTGTTGGGGTGACAAGGGAACACTTCCCCCTGTGGGCCTCGGCTTCCTCCTCTGTAAAACAAACTAATCATCCCCGTCAGGAGTGGAGGTGGGAGGGTGGTTTATGGGGCCAAGGTGAGTGGGGGGGGGCGTTATTAGCTCCCTGACCCGCCAATGTTGTGCCCCCAGGCCTGCAGGGCCTCCACATGCTCCACTTCTCCTACTTCCGCAATCCCAACCACGTGTGGTACCAGGGCAACGCGTCGCTGGGGGGGCACCTGACTCACAAGCTGGAAGGCCTCGGCACCAACGCCACTTTCCTCCAGCTGCAGCCCCTGCAGGATCCCGAGAGCTGGGCGTTCACCGAGAAGCTCCTGCAGCAGTACCTGAAGCGCTTCCATGGCCTCGTGATGCTGGTGCATCGGGAGCGGCATGTGGCCTGTAAGGGGACATGTGGGGGCGCGGCCTTGTGGAGGGCGAGGCGTGTGGGTGGGTGTCCGTAGTCTGCGCAGTCTGCGCTGTACCCTTGGTTGTTCTGGTGCCTTGCTCTCTGGAGGACGTTGGTGGCCAAAAGAGTGGGTGTCCTAGCTAAAGGAGTGGGGCAACCCGGGCAACCCTGGCCTCACAGACTTTCAAACTCTTTTCTTTCATACACAGTCCCTCATCCCCTCAATCCCCAGCTACCTCTCCTCAGGCAGGCTGATGACCCAAGGTCCTCCGCCCCTTCTCCTCAAAGACCCCTGGCTCTCCCCCTCAAAACCCTCACACCCTCCCCCTTGAAGTGCCACCTTTTTTCTCTCAGTCTCCCTGTTTTCTTCATTGTCTCAGAATTCCCTATACAGCCTCCTTCACACACATCCACCACCACCATGAGCATCCCTGAGGCTCCAGGCACCCCGCCTTGTATGGTCCCCCTCTGACCCTGCTTCCCCCCAACCCACAGTTCCTTTAACGATCCGCTGCTACGCGGGCTGCGAGCTGCTACCAGAGGACTCCAAGGCCCGCGTCTTCTTTAATGTGGCTGTGAATGGGAGCTCCTTCATGATTTTCCAGCCAGAGACGGCCCTGTGGGTGGCTGGCTCCGCGAACCCTTCCCAGGTGGCCACCTACACCATGAAGCAGCTCAATACCTACAACCAGACTCGGTACGAACTGCGAGAGTTCCTGGAGGACACGTGTGTGCAGTACGTGCACAAGCACTTGGCTGGGGGAAATCTGAAAGGTACGCTGGGAACGGGCCCTGCCTGTGTGCTGGGAGCAGGGTGGGGGTGCTGGATCCCAGGCAATGGGACCAACCTAAAGGTTGGATCCTTCTGTCCATGTGTCCACAAGAGGCCAGGCCTAGGGGTTGGGGACAGGGCACCCCCCCACACACCAAATTGTTTGGTGAACTTTTCCTCTTCCCCTGGGGAGCAGGAATCCCTTGGCATATGTTCTTCAAGCTAACTCTGTACCTTCTTGCAGGGAGCCAAACGGGGCGCTCCTATACTTCGCTAGTCCTGGGCGTGCTGGTGGGCAGTTTCATCATCGCTGGCGTGGCCATGGGCATCTTCCTGTGCACAGGTGGACGGCGGCGCTGCTAGTGACTATCCGGCATCACCCCCCGAAAGAACTGGATTTGTTTGTGGGGGGTTGCTAGCAAAGGAAGGTCTCAGCTCACTGTGAAGCCAGATTCCCCGGCTGGAACACCTCCCAGGAGGTTGGAAGTGGCCATTCCATTCTTTTCCCAGATCTGCCAGTTTGGGAAGACGGGGTAGGAGGCTAACTAGACAAAGGACCTGGATGTCTAATAACCTGGGAATGTGCATGTTTTGCCTGAATTGCTCTGAGAACTGAATGCTTATCTGACTTCTGTGGAAAGCAAGGGTCGGGGCAGGGAGGGGAGTGCATCCCATCCTCCAAAGACAGATGGGATCACCTGAGGCATTCAAAACATGTAACCAAGGAAAACAAATTGTCCACAACCAAAACAAACAACATTCACAGCTGTCAGGTGTGTTTGTCCATGGTATAACAGGGACAGAAGAAGAGGCAGGAGGATTTGTGAGTGTGTACAATCCAAGTCATAGGGAATCAGCAAATCATTCTTTAATAACACCAATACATTCTTTTATGTCATTGGCATTATTTCCTTTACTTGGCAAACTTCTGGAAAGGTGGCCCATACCCTTCGCTTGCACCTCCCAGCTCCTGCTCCCTCTTCAATCCCCTTCTCTGTAAACTACTCAAAGGTCCCTAGCAAACTCTGTCCATGAGATCTGCAATTGGGTAGGCTAGGATTCCCTTTACACCCTAACTTCTGAGATCCTTCTGGAATTTATAAACCTATTCTGGCTGCTCGTTTCAATCCCTGTGTTACTGGACTCCGTTTGCCTTGAAAGATGGAACTCCATTTCTCAGCTCCTTTAGTTTCCTCTTTGAACTCTACCTTATCTGTGGAAACTACTGACTTCCCTGGCTTCAAATACTGCCTCTCTGGGGCGGTTTTCCTGGAGAAGCAATATCACTTTATTTTTTGTTTGTTTTTTATTATCACTTTATTTTTAAGAGCATGTGCTTTGCCATGACTTTCAAGTCTTCTCTGAGCCAGATGTTTCATTTCTTTTAGTCTCAGTTTCTTCATTCATAAAAAGTATAATAAAAAATATACAGAAGATATAAGAAAAACAATACCTCATTGAGGTGCTGTAAGAATTAAATATGTAAGATGATAAGTGTTTACTTAATAAATATGAGGGAGATTCAAAAAGGTCATGGAAAGAGTGGAATTAAAAGGTAAGGGAGGTTGGTGTTCTGGCATAGCAGGTAAAGCTGCTGCCTGCAATGCCAGTATTGCATCTTGGTTCTGGTTTGTATCCCAACTGCCCTTCAGGGGAGACCTGAATTGAATTCTGAGTTCATGGCAACAGCCTGGCCCAGTCCTGGGTGTTGTAGGCATTTAGGGAATGTTTAGTTTAGAAGGATGATTCTCTCTCTCTCTCTTTCTCTATCCTTCCTCCTCCCTACCCCTCAAATAAAATTATAAATACATTTTGAAAATAAAACTTAGGGCCTGGCACAATAGCCTAGTGGCAAAAGTCCTTACCTTGCATGCACTACAATCCCATATGAGTACCAGTTACGTCCCAGCTGCTCCAGTTCATGTCCCAGCTGCTCCACTTCCCATCTAGCTCCCTGCTGTGGCCTAGGAGCCTCTTCCAGGTCTCCCACGCATGTGCAGTGTCCCAAGGCCTTGGGCCATCCTCTACTGCTTTCCCAGGCCTTTAGGCTGTCCTTTAGACTGAGGCAATCGCCACTGCCTCTGTCTCCTACTCTAATCTATGTTCTTATTTTTTATTATTTGGAAAGGAGAGAGAGAGAGAAAACAAGCAGCCAGAGATCTTCCATGTGGTTCATTCTCCAAATGCCTACATTTAGCAGGGGCTGGACCAGGAGCCTAGAATTCAGTCCGGGTTTCCCGTCTTGGGGAAGGGATCCGAGTATGCAGGCCATCACCTGCTGGCTCCCAGAGTCTGCATTACTAACAGGAGGCTAGAACCAAGAACATGCCAGGATTCAAACCCAGGCACTCCCCTATGAGATGAATTGTCCCAACTGGTGTCTCAGCTGCTGCACCAAACACTCTCCCTCCTCCAGGTTCTAATGGACCTTCTATATGACAATAAAAAACATATATTTGATGGGCATTTGGTGTAGCAGTTTGGGAGACCTACATTCCAGAAGGGTGCCTGATTCACATTCAAATTTCCACCAGCTTCCTACTAGTGTACATCTTGCGAGGCAGCAGTTGATGGTTCAAGTCCTTTAGTCTGTCACTCACATTCGATACCGGGACTGAGTTACAGGCTCTTGGCTTCAACCTGGACCAGCCCTGGTTCTGTGGCATTTGGGGAATGAACCAAAAGAGGAAAAATCTGTCTTTCTGTCTCTTTGGCTCTCAAATAAAATTTTAAAATGAACCTGGTCATCTCAGTGTTCTTTTTTAAAATTTTTCTATATTAATTGAACTAATTCAGACTCCTATGTGAACAATGTGGTCCTAACCTGATTTTGAAATTCTTTTTTCTACTGTTTTTCTATGTCTCTTATTAACTGTAGGAGTGTTTACATGGAGTATACCATAAAACAGCAAAAGACCCCTTGATTTTTCCTTGTCTTGGAATTTTTGCTTCGTAAATAAGGCAAGATTCTTAGTTGCAAGCAACAGAAGCCAGTTCTGAAAACGTGATGGGTAAATAAATGCATCAGCTTATCAAATAATCCTCAAAATCAATGGAAAAAGTACAGCTAATTGAGATCAGAAACCAGAGACTGCGAAGTCCCACCATAGGAACAACCACAGCTGGAACCACTACTTCCACCGCAGAATGCACATAACCACTCTTCATACATCCTCCCCTGTCTGCTGTGTCTTCACATCATTTGTCCAAGATTTAGCGTCCTTAGATTCTAAGTCATGTGGGTGGGAGCCCCATAGGACGAAGCCAGCTTCCTGCTTAAGGCCTGGGAAAGCAGGTGAGGTTGGCCCAAAACCTTTCAGACCCTACACCTGCATGGGAGACTAGGAGGAGGCTCCAGGCTCCTGGCTTCAAATAGGCTCAGCTCTGGCTGATGCAGCCACTTCAGGAGTAAATCATCAGATGGAAGATCTTCCTCTCTGTCTCTCCTCTCCCAGCTCTGGCAGTAGCGGCTGTGGCAGAAGCTCTGGTAGTAACAGCTATTTGGAAAGGGAATTGGCAGATGGAAGATGTATCTGTCTCTCCCTTTCTCTCTCTCTGCAATTCTTTCAAGTGAAAAAAAAAAGAAAATTAAAAAAAGAATAAACAGAAGCTTCATCTGCTTGCATGTGGATTAGCATAGCTGTGTAGCCTTAGGCAAATCCATGTGTGGGAAGAAGTTCCTAATTTCTAAGTTACCTCCCAGCTCCGCCGCCTTGGCCTCTGAGCTCCCGATATTTGGACAACTGAAGGGTCCTGGAAGTTCCATTCCTCTTCTGGAGAGTGACCTTGGAATATTTGGCTATCCTCTGGCAGCCGGATCATTAGAGACTCAAATTGGAGTTTATATAAAGAAATAAACAGATCTGGAATTAATTTAAACAAGTAGATCCCCAGCATGCACGAAGAGCTTCCTTTTGAGTGGCATGCATGGCTTATCCTAATTCCCCTTTTTAATGCATAGATCTGAAACTTTCAGTGTCCATGTAAGCTTATCTTTTCATCCCATTTATCCAAAACCTTTATGAAGTGTGCTCACATCGGAGTTTCGCTTGCCTGCCTTGACTTTCTGCCTCCTGCTGGATAGCGAGGTTTAGGTTTCTGTGCTTTTTTCTTCCAACTCAACCAGCCTCCGCTAAAACCTGCCCTATGTGAGGCAGAGAGCGAAAGGCTCTTAGAGGTGCAGTAAGGGGTAAAACGTTCCTATCCAGGAGCCCACAGCCCAGGGGTAAAGGTGTTAAAAAAAAAAAAAAACAGCTGATTTTAACACAGAAAGAAAGCAAGAGACAGTAATTAGAAGCAGGAGATCTCAATGAGAGGTAGGAGGGCAGCCATAAAGTTTATCTGACTCTGAAGGAAAAGAAGCAGTTCAGTGGGTGAAGAGAGGAAATGTGCTTCTCCCCCTCCGGGCTAAGACCCTTGAGGACAATGATTTTGTCATATCCATCTGTGGGGTCCTGGTGTACAACACAGTGTTAAGCACAAGGAAGGAGACCAATACATGCTTTTTTTTTTTTTAATGAATGAATAACTTGCATTCTGGCCTAACCTAATAACACAAAGGCAGAGAGGGTATAAGTACACCTTGTGTCTGGGAACGGGAATGGTCTGATATGGAAGTTCTGGATATAGCTAAGGCAAGGCGCTGCAGGAAATAAAATGAGACATTTCTGTATCCAATTAAAAATGTCATGCTGGGCCCAGCACTGTGGCACAATGGGTTGAGCCACTGCCTGTGGCGCTGGAATTGCATACTGGAGTGTCAATTCAAGCCTGGTTACTCCATTTGGGATCCAGCTTCCAGCTAATGCACACCCAGGAATGCAGCCGATGATGGCCCACATACTTGGACCTTCACATCAAGATGGAGAGCAGGATGGAGCTCTTGGTTCCTGGCTTCAGCCTGGGCCAGCCCAGGAGATCAATCAAGTAGGACCTTGTAGGCCAATTGCAAGGAGTTTGATTTTTATTCTGAGGAACACTGAAAGCCATTGGAGGCTTCTGTGAGATGGGTAACAGGATCTGATTTACATTTGAAGCGTCACCTCTCTGGCTACCGTCGGGAAGATACAGACTAGGTTACCAAGACAGGCTCAGGGAGCTGCGAGGCCGTGCACACGTTTTGGAAATCACTATTACAATATGGGTGAAACCAGAGCGAATGGACCTGGGTGTCAGTGACAGAGATGGTGAAAACAGTTGTGTTAATTAGGAAGACAGGATTGCTAGAAGTTGATGAAAGAATGAATATGAATAAGAGAAACAGAGAAATTTTTTAAAAAAAAATCATTCTAAGAAATGCAATGTAAAGATACCATGGCTTACTCCTCAGAATAGTTAAGGAAGAAGGGAAAGGAGAAAGAAAA